TAAGAATTTCCATTTCAAGGTCTTTTCAAATATGAGTCTAATTTCTTTCATTTATTTTCTGGTCATTTTTCTCTTCTTTTATGTTTGTCTGATATTTTAACTCTCCTAACCTAACTGGATACCCACAATTTAGAGAGTTACTCCCTCCACCACCACACAGTGCTTCCTACACCTTTCCATTCCTCTTTTACCCTTTAGTAATATTTAAACGGATATGAATATGCGATTGGATTCTTAAACAGATGTCTATATTCTTGAACAAATATCGATATCCGTTGAAAGACAAACGAAAGTCAATATCCGTTCAAGGATGTTGACATCCTTTTCTATGATATTACTACTCTTACAGTTGCAACTACCACAAGTAGAGCTTTTGCACTCATTAAGCATCTATTTCTTAATAATGGCTACTTTTTCAGAACAAGAAATTAAGACCATTAGGTTGTACACACCAAAATGCATTTGAAAGATATTAACAATATGTTGTGGTAGCTTAACCATAAAAAATGACTAATTATGCTGTCTAAATTGTCAAGTATCAACCATATTTTTCTTTGTTAATTAGTCTTTTGGTACCGTAAAGATAGAATGTGTCTGATGTTCATGTTTTGGTTTCTTTATATTCACAACTTTTGTATTTTTTGTCTTTCATGTGCAACTCTACGAGGAGTGACAACCTTGAAAGCAAGAGCTTTAAAGGAGGTATGGAATATAACTACAGTTACACCACTGAAGCGAGGCATAGGGCGATTTGACTATGTGGTAAAAGTTTTAACAACAATACTAGCAACACCAGCACCAGTGATAGCAGGGAAGTTTTCAATGGAGAAAATTTTCTAGGTGTCTGGAGCCAAGAACTTATTGCTAAGGGCAGTGAATTACTCAAGCACACCCGTAAAGGTAACAGGAAACATCTAAAAGGACCTGATTTAAAAGAAGCAGAAACTAGTTTTCCCTGATCACATTTATTTTCTGATGAAGTCTATACCCTTCTGAATGCTTCCTGTTAACTCTTTCTTTGCTTTTTCCAACCCAATCCTATGAAGCATTACACACAAAAAGTTTCACTTTTGTACTTATTGTATCCAAGAAAATAGGAAATAAATTCATAAACTATGATACCTTTCATACTCCTTTTTTGCTTTTTAAAACTCAATTCAGCGCGAAGAATAAAGGAAAAGAGAAAGTAATTTGTGTGCGATTAGAGAAAGATAAAAGTGAAGGGGTGTAGAAAGATTTAGAGTTTTAAGAAAGGTAAATAAAATTAAATGGTAAAAATTAAATTAATGTATATTTTTAAAATAAAAAAATAATGGAAAGGTGTAGGGAGTACTTGGGGTGATGGAGGGAGCAACTCTTCACAATTTGTTATTGAAAGAAAGCCCACATTTATTTTTCATGAGTTGAATATGGGCCTTTTTTTTGTACCCTCCTTTTCTTTTCCAGTGAACAGTTTTTTCAAGCACCCCTCTTATCTTTCTTGTATTTTCTATCTTCTCCACACCTTCTCTCACATCCATTATGCGGTGTTACTTTTCTTTTTCTCTTCGAAAATTGGTCGAAATCTAGTTTCTATGTTCTACAAAAAGCATAATCCTCTGTTTAATCCTTTCATAAAATCTAATTAAATAATTTACAAAGATTAAGAAATTTAGTTAATGCAACATTAAATTTGTATTGAATTTATATTAGAAGGTAATCTTTTTTTTTTCTAGGATTTTCTTATAAAGCAAAAGTTGATAGTGCAATTACAAGGCTAGTTCAGTATAGCTACTTAACAAGTTTCATTCGGCACTTCCAAAAGTTTTACTCTCTATTTCAAAGGTTTTACTATGAACACCTTAAATTTTTTTTGTTAAAATAACTATTATGCCATGCGGTAAAAATATGTAACATATTTCGAAATCTGATGAAGTCTCAATCAGAATTAAAAATTTATTGAGTGTTTTTTTCACTTGATTTCAAAATTCGTTTGGTCCTTTATTAGATTTTGAAATTTGATTAGTTCTTCATCATATTTCAAAATCCAATGAAGACCTAATTGAATTTTAAATTAGTTTGGATTTTCATTAGATTTCAAAATCCGATTGGATCTTCATTGTATTTCAAAATTTAATGAAGATTTAGGAGTCTCACAATAATGTTTTCATGCATATGCTCTTGCGATCAACCTCACAAGAATCACCACCAACACCACTTATCTCTTGGAGAACCTCTCAACGAGCAAACAACACCAACACCTTTGAACTCATAACCCATAATGCTTTGGAGGTGCAAAGTATATAAAAGAAAAAAAACATTAATTTGAAGATATTTTCGATAGCTTGGAGGTATAGGATGAAACACCCAATTCTATTTTTTTTGCCATTTCTTCTTCTCATTCATACATTTTTTGTATTTGTTAACGTATAGTTTAAGATGCAATTTTGTATTTTAGAATGTCAATTGAAATACAAAATTAAAGATAAATTTCAGAATATAAATATATTCTAAATTATACAATTTTGAGTACAATTTTTGTATTTAAACGAGAACTTTATCATCAGAAAACTATAAAACTCATCTCTTAGTTTCTGAATGAATTTAACTAATTTAACAGAGAAATTTATTACTGAGATCTAAATGGAGTAATGGAAAACAAAAATATCATAGTGATACTAGTTGTGATAGAATATCTTAATTTTAGCAAACAAGGAAATCCTATGAACCATTTCACACTGCCAAGTGTTGATTGCCTATTGCACAAATTGAAGACCCCACATCGAAAGATAAGATTCGTAGAGCCTAACCAACCTCATATATCTTCGTTCATTCTTTTTGGTGGATTCAAAGAAAGAGCTTATGATTTTTGTAATTCCATTCTCATCTAGAGTCCCACCTTATCTTTGAGCAAGTAAATCACACAAACTATAGATGAGTTGCAAGATAAACTCCATAAGCTCACCATTACTGTGCAAATTGTGCACCAAAAAGCCAAAGCTAAGAAGAAGAAACATTATCTTATTTTCCTTTTCCTCAAGTGGGAAAGAGCAGAAAACCATTTCCACCAGAACAAGGATTGAAAATCCAACATCTCAGGCTTACACTGTCAGTTTCAAGACAGAAAAGGGTTGCAAGCTTTCCATTTCAAGGTATCCTGACTTTGAATATGATGCAGAGGGGGGAATGGGAACTGGAGTTGCTGCAAAGGTTACAGAGAATGGTCCGGCCAACAATGACCTTCCTGTTTTATTTGATCTTGAAAGTTTGTATATTCCACCATTAACAAGTTCTACTGCCAAGTTTCTTGGATTGCCATTGCCACCGTTTTTGAAGATTGATATAATTCCAGAAGCATTACATGGAAATATTAACCAAGAATCTGGCAAGGTAAAACATTTAAGTTCTGAAGATTTTTGCTTCAAATTGAAAGGATTGTGCATTATGTGTACAACTTTTAGTGAGCTTTAATACCTAGGTTGTGTTTGTTTCAAACAAAAGTTATGAAATACCAAGATTGAATATGCATATACAATCTTTACTAAAAAAATTTATACTGTCAAAATAAGAAATGATCTTTGATACGATTTTTGGAACAGTTATTAAAAATTAACCAATTTATCATATAAATGATAATTGGTGATTAAATGATATTGCAAAGAATCTTTCTCCCTCTCTCTATATATTTATATAAAAGTTATTTAGAGAAGCTATTTCGTAAAGAGATGAGGTCATTTGAACTTGCCATAAGTGTCTCTCTAGTTAGTTTTGTGCAAGTACTACTCAATTGATGATATGATTGTTTTGGTATTTATAACAAGGTTGATCTTGAGTTCAAGGCCAAGTTTTTGTTTTCTGCTGGTAGTCTCTATAAGGCTCCTCCACTGTTGGTGAAGACAGTGTTGACATCTGAAGAAACAAAAGGCACTATGAAGAGTGGAAGAGGCAGGAGAATGGATGAAGAGGGTAAATGCAAACTGGTTGGTGTAGCAACAGTTGACCCTATTAATGATTTCTTTATGAATTCCTTCCTTGGCCTTCCAACTGAGTGCCTTGCTGAGTTAAAGGCTGTAATCTCCATATCTTCCTCATCTTAAGATCTCATCACAAAATTTGGACATTTGTTGAAAGTTGAAACCGATGCAGACTCATAATATCCAAGTTGGAAGATGAATGTGAAATAGTAGAAGATGGTATACATAGCAGAAACTAGAAATAAGTTAAACTTGAACTAGTTTACCCATTCAGCCTTGTAGAACACACAATAGGTAAAGCAAGTATAATGTATTAAGAAAAGAGTGAAGTCAAATACAATATTCATAAACATTTATTATCCCAATGTGTTTTTAACCTCTATTGTCACACAAGTATATTTCCATGTTGATTTTTTCTATATATTAATTAACCTTTGGAATGTTTTAGTTTACCTGGTTTTATACATTTGGACCCCAAATTTTGCAAAGCTAGTTCGTAACTTTTGCATGAGAATATTGTTGTAATGCATCCTTTATTGGATTAAAATTCAGAATTTGGCAAGATTTTATTGCAATTTTAAGAATGCATGTTTAAAATATGTACTATTATTGACTATGAAAAGCCAACAAATAATTCGTATTTGTGATACAGTCTTACAATGTTTCAAAGTTCTATTGCTGTAAATTAAAAAGAAATACAATTGAGAAAAAAAAAATTGAATTGCATTTAAATTTATACCTAAGATATTATCAACCTTCATTATGCTACATTTTGTTGAGCATTAAAGTAACAATAAACATATAATCTTTTACTCATTCCGTTTTAAATTATATACGTTTAAATAATACACACATTTCAAGATTACTCTAATTACTATAACAGAATAGTGCTTCACCAACCCTTTATTTAAAAAAGTAGCGTAGTTATGAATTAATAAAAGTAATATATTAATAACATTTCTTAATTTTTTAGTGAAATTTTGAAATATATTTATAAGTCGTTAAAGTAATAGATATCTTAAAAAGGAAAGTGTAACTTGAAACCCATTAGATGAAAAAAGATGAGACCTTGTATACCAAAATACAATGTAAGAGTGGCTACAGCCAATTTCCTTTAACTGTATGATTTCTTTTCCACTCTCTCAATCTCTGTTTTTCTGCAAGGCTGAAAGCAAAATATCCAGCTCTATGTATGGTGCATTGCTATCTGGTATAACAGAAAATATTCCCACTTTTATTATACCAATTTATTCAAAGGCAAGCCTTTGTGTGCCAACCAGTGAAGCATATTGGCCCTTCTTAGCCAATAGCTCAAAATGAGTGCCTAATTCTGTAATCCTCCCCTCAGAACAGACTGCAATTTGGTATGCATTTTGGACTGTGCTTAATCGGTGGGCTATTACTAATGTGGTTCTTCCCTTCATCAAATGGTTGAGAGCTTCCTGGACCAAGCGCTCACTGACAGCATCCAGGGCACTGGTAGCCTGCACCAGCAAAGAATGTCAAAATCAAGACATGCATAAATAGGATCATATCAGGGTTTTAAATTGTGGTTGTTTAGGTCTGACACGAGTGAATGCAGTCTGCAATCACGTCTAAATGCAGCAACAAATAAAAGTGTTACATCACCTTTTGCTTTAGTTCCCTCCGAGATTGGGGTTCCAATTGCGTTTGTTCAACATTGGGATATTTTTATTTTGCTACATTTATATATGATTTTTCTTTTGTATTTGTTTTTCTTTTAATGAAAAATTGTTACTTCTCAAAGTTTCTTTACCGAATTTCAATAAGTTTGGTTTGTCAATTAAAATTTTATGAATTGACAATTTTGATATTTTCTAAATTCATAGCAGATTCTTCATCAAACATCATGCGTCTATGCATCTCAACAAAATAGAGTTGATAAATGTAAGAATCATCACTTACTTTAAACAACTTGTACCGTTTCTCAGCCAAGGGATGGAGCTATTTTTACTTCAGTCAAGAGTTCTCTATATCTTTTGTCTTTGATTTAAGGCTCCCAACTTTTTACTGGAACAGTTCTAAACAATAAAATTCCTTATTCTATCTTGAATACTAAACAAGACCTTCATCCTATGCCCTTATGTATCTTTAGGAGCACATGTTTTATTCATGATCTCACTAAAGGTAAAAATAAACTATTTGTAGAATTTCTAAAATGTATTTTTATTAGTTATTCCTATTTCCAAAGGGATACAAATGTTTCTCTTGACCACTTTAACTGTTAGGTACCTTTGTTCAGGAACCAAAGAGAACACGCTCTTGTCACAATAACGCTCGAAACAACAAGAGATGAAATTATGAGTATGTATATTATTGAATTTGTAATGTATATTAAGAGAAATACAATTATATGTCCCAAGGAAGCCTCCCTTCCTCCACTAGAAAATGTCCAGTCTATACCCAAAAGGAAAATATCTGATAATCCCCTTCTCCCTCTATTCTGTTTCTTATTTATGCTTTCTCTCTACTAACAAACTATCCCCCTTTCCCGCCTTTAATTTCCTCCCCTCATATACTTTTAACTTCCTAACATTAACAGTATCTTGTCTTTGTTGATGTTACTTTATTTGAAAATGCTCTTTATTTTCTTCCACCATTGAAAATGTTCTTCTAGAAGTTCCACATGTACTTCCAACCGCACTATTTGCTCATGTTCCAACACCATGGTTCACTAAAAAATTCACTTGATAGCATAGTTATACTCAATTTTGGACTTGGTAATGGTGACATTTTTTCCTCATTAACCGAAATCATCTTTGCCTGACATTTTCTTGATATGATTGTCATTCATCATTGAACTTTTCATTAGTTGGACCTAAAAATAGTCTCCCTTCGTGATGAGTTACTAGAGGTGTATATGAACTACATTCTCGCAATTCACGTGTTGGATGGGGGCTTTGTTGCTCCTTCTATGCGCTAAAGCGATCTCCGAAGCATGTTTTTGTTAGTTCACGTCCACTCTGCTTGGTTGCTTATTTGGTGTGCTTATTTGTCGCCCAAGTGACACTCCTATGGGTCCAAACGTGAAGCTTCTTCCAGGTCAAACGGGTGATTAAAAGGCCTTGGAAGATATCATTGTCTATTAGGAAGAGTTAATTACCTCATTGTCACTAGTTCAGACATCACATTTGCATTTATGTGATTAGCCAACTTTGGAAGGGTCCATGTGATGGTCACGAGTAAAATGGCAATCGTATACTTCAATACCTTATAAATGCACTAAGTTGAGAATCAATATTCAAGGACACAGGAAATTCCAAAATTATTTGTTACTTCGATGTTCATCGCAAAAGATCACCATAAAAAAGGAAGTTCACTTTTGGCTTCTAGTCAGTTTCTAGGCGGAGGAAAATTGGTTTCTAGGCGGTTTCTAGATCAAGTGATGAAGCTGAGTTCTATGTCATGGTTGTATCTGCTAGTGAGATTACATGACTTAGACAACTCCATCAATTAAAATTTAGAGGCACTCAAAGTACTAAATTTGTACGCAACAATCAAGCTTCTATTCATATTGTGTCAAATCCAATCTTCCATGAGTAGACTAAATACATAGAGATTGACTATCACTTTGTGAGAGAGAAGATGCTCTCAAGAGAAATCATCATTGACTTTGTTAATTTTAGAAGCCATAAGGGCTCCCATGTTGATAGCATATGTAACAAGCTTGACTCATATGCCATAGGTATTTCAGCCCGAGGGAGTGTTAGAGATGTGATATGATTACATTAAATGGGGAAATAAGATTTGATAAAGAAATATTTTCCATTATTAAGTATTAATTTTGTTCTTTGTTATTATATCTCTTCATTATAAATAAGAGTACTAGTGTGTACAAATCACACAAATACAAACAATCCTCTCTATCAGAAGCACGGAGAGAGTATATAGAAAAGCATAGAATTAAACAAAAAATATCACCTCATCAAGTATAAGGATGGGAGCATTCTTTAGGAGAGCGCGGGCTATGGCAATTCTCTGTAATTCAGAAACAAGAGTCAACAACATTTGAATGTGTCCATGCGTAAAATGCATACCATGCAAGGTGAGGATAATATAGGTGAACTCTACTGTACCTGTCTCTGTCCTCCACTCAATAGGCCTCCACGCTCACCAACAAGTGTATCATAGCCCTTTCAAGAAAAACAAAATTAACTATAAGATTTGTATCTATATAAAAGCATATGCAAACTCAGAAGAGAAACCAACCTGTGGTAGTGAAATTATAAAGTCATGAGCATTTGCAGCTTTTGCTGCCTTAATGACATCTTCTTTAGAGACATCTTCATCTGGAAGCCCATATGCAATGTTTTCTCCAACAGACACCGAAAACAAAACAGGCTCCTATAATATGTAAAATTTATAAAGAAATGAAAACAATACGTTTGATATCATACATAAGATTCTTTCTTATTCCTTACTTGATTTACAATGGAAACAACCCGGGCCCATTCACTCTTGTCAAATGTTCGGACATCCTCTCCTGCAACTGTTATACAGCCACTTGTTGGCTGCAGAAATAAAGATTACTTTATGTATCTATTTTCAAGACAAATATCCATGAAATTTCATCTTACAGCATAAACTGAAATCAAAACCTCATAAAAACGAGACAATAGCTGGACTACTGTACTTTTGCCTGCACCACTTGGACCCACCAGTGCAGTTACAGTTCCACATTTTAGTCTTAAATTTAAGCCACGTAAGATTTCCACATCCGGCCTTAATGGATAAGAGAAATATACATCTGCAGTATAATATGAGCATAGTCATTGAAAGAGAAGGAAAAAAATAAAAGAAGTATCCATTACAAAATAATTCAGATTATTATGAAAATGTTATTATAGAACTACTTCAAACTTATAATTAATGTGTGCCTGTGTGAGAGAGTGAGAGATCAAATAAGAAACTAAAACTTCAATTGTCAGATGGACATAAATCTTTAATATTGAAATTGGATGATAATATCATATCCTTAAGAGGAAAGCAACCAACAGACGGTCAAAGTCCTTCAAAAGAAAATTCATGCATTTAGTTACTTAAGTTCATCTCATAACTAAAAGAGAAGTAGCAAGTTATTGAAGCTTCCATTGCAAGAACACTAGCAAACATGGCATTTGATATGGATGAGTGATACATTAAAACAACACATCACAAGGGATACAAACAAAATTGCAATAAAGATACCTTCAAGGCAAATATCTCCCGACCAAGCTATGCTAAATAAATTGCTTGATGTTTTAAGAGCTGACATAAAGTGAAAATAATTTTTTTGGTTATTCTCGGTAGAAATATTAGATAAGACCAATTTATAGTTTTCATCCTCCACTGTTTTTTGTCTCAGTTCTCTTTCTAAGCCATAAGCCAGGGCATCATCAACTTGAACCCCAGAAAAAACAGAGTTGATCCTCTCAACAGCAGCAAAAGTTCCACGGAGATCTCCAAAAGTATTAACCAGTCCTTGAACCTAAAAGACACAATATCAGACAGGAAGAGGATAAATATATAAAGAAAAACAAAGTCAACAACTCAAATAGCTTACAGCGAATGTTAAAGTGAAAGTATAACCGATAAAAGATGCCATGGTTCCAACAGAGAGTTCACCCTGAAAGCAAGAATTAAGGGTAGCTCAGAAATATTCATTGGTCAAATCTGCATAATAAGCAATAAGAGAAAGATGTATATGATCATAGGAGAAAGTTATATCAGAAGAAAGAATGCATATACTGATATAAGAAGCAATAGTAATCATGATTGACAATATGTTGCAGAAGGCAATAAAAGAAAAAATCATGATTAAATTTATAATTATATAGAGAAAAGACAAGTTTTAAAAGCTAGAATTGCTTACCGCCTTAACCTTGCTTCCTCCAAGACAGTATAATGCTATTAAAGAAATATAAACTGCAACTCTAGTTAAAGATTCATTTACAGATTTGAAAGTCCCAAGCTTTATCCCACTAGATTGGAAAGATAGAACCTGTATCGAACAAACAAATAACATGGGAGTTTCTAAGAGGACGCCATGCCCTTTCTGAAATTAGTTATTGGTCCTTAAATAATCTTACCTGATTAGCAAAAGAGAACATTTGGCGCTTTTCACCACCAAAGGATCTTACCTGTAAGCATATATGTCACTGTTATAAATTGATGCCATTACCACACACAACATATGTTTGTAATTGGGCCACTAACTAATGGGAACTCACTGTTCGAATAGCTGAAAACGTTTCAGTCACACAGTCAGATATAGATGCTTGGGCCTTCCCATGTGCTTTAAAAACTGGCAATGTCGATCTCTTGTAGACAGCTATAGAGAACCATAGTGAATCAGCGAACGATACATGAAATGAAAAATAATGTTTCACAATTTTCTTCTACAAATTATTGTGTTTACTGTTTAAGCTACATACAATTGTCAGCTTGCATATAAGCCATTTATGAAATTATGAAGCCTATTACCCTAACACTTCAGAAAGGATGAAGACAAGACAGGTGATTATATTTCTGGTTTTTATAATAAACCATAACAGTGTTGAACATGGTCATTGAATTGATTTCATTAGACAAAATGTAAACTTACCAATTGAAATGGAAACTGCGAGCATCAGAACACCTAGAATGGGTGCCAGTTGCGGTGATAAAGAAAAAAGTATGAATATTGTTCCAATGACCTACAAGAACAAAGAGAGCAGAAGCAGCAATGACACAAACGAACATGAGCAGCAAAATGCAAACAAAAAATATGCATAAGTATAACGTAACTGACATAAGAAAATAGAGGTTCTCTCTTGAAAGGCATGAAATCATTTCTTTCACACCCAAACAAAAAAATATGTGGCAAAAATTTCACTCCTCAAGATAATGCCCTGAATCCGCGAACAAAGTGAAAAAGGAATAAACCATACACATGCTTAAATATAGAAAATATAAAGCTCACATTGGTGTAGAGTTGCTTGCCTCAGATAATGCCCTGAATCCGCGATCCCTTGAGACATTCTCACTGACAATATTTTTAAGAGAATCCAAATCAGATGTTAACAAACCTGTGAGTTCACCAACCTATAAGCAAATTCAAGAACGTGCAATAGTTTTTGCACCTACTTTGTCAGTGTACACTATCATTAAGAAAAGAAACAAAATGATATTGTTTGCTCAATAAAATAAAATTTTATATTTTTTAAATAATATACTGGTATTCATAAAATCATATTGGAAAGCGATTCAGATTAAGTTACAGCAATAGATGAAACATAGGGATACAAAGAAAAGAGAAGACGAAGAAGACAAAGACAATAGAATATGGAAAACTAAAAGCACATATATCTCAAGAGACAATCAATCAATCAGGTAAAGGTGACAGAGAACAATGACTATCCGCTTCTGCTTACAGTGTCTCAGCCCAAATATCTCAAGAGACACCGATAAATATGGAAAACTAAAAGCACATATAATGTAAGTAACTTCATACACATACCTTATATTTGTCAAAAAACTCAATCTGCACAAATAAAAAAAAAAACTATATGATTAATCAATCAAAGCAAAATAACTTTCCATTCAATAATTCAAACAGCCATAGATATTCTAACCAATAACTATCTCCAAGCATTACCAGTGAGAGAAATAATATTAATAAATAACAATAAATAGAAAAACAAATTATCAGGACCTTTTGAATCAATATTCTTCCGAAGATCTGAGCTCTTAGTGTCGACATAATTTTCTCCCACACTATGTTCATGTTTATAACAAAAATAATAGTTAAAAGTGGCTCCAAGGCATACAGAACTCCAATTTTAGTAAGCAGCTTCCATAACGGTTCAGGTCTAGCTCCAATTAGAACTTCAAAAAACCGTCCTAAAAGAACAACAACGCATAAGAATGAATATATAACATGATCAACAGTTAAGTCATGTATGAACAGTACGTAAAAAGGAATAAAAAGGACCAAAAAATAATAGCACCCCCTAATGCCATGAGTTAAAACTGCATTAAAAATTCAAATTTGCACAATACCCCAAAGTATTTTCCATGAGAAAATATATCATCATCCCATTTTCTACGAAAGAAAGAGAATTTTATTCCAGTCCTCCTAGAACAAATATTTACATAGCCAAATTATTCTCATTTATGTTTGGGCACTCACCAAAAAAAATTAAAAACATAAAAATAGTTATATTATTAATTTGATCTATATATGTATATATATCAACAATACTTATATATAATTATATAAACTAATTTTAATTTAAGAGAAAAATTATTAAATTTCTTCTTCTAAAACTACAAGTGCAATACGTATATTTGCCACTCTGCCTAAGTTTCGGTCCCTCTCACCGATACTTGACAAGACTTATGGAAATGTAAAACTGCTTTGAAAATTTGTTGACAGTCATAAACTCCTAAAAAAATTGAAGGGACTAAAACTTGAAATAGAGAAATAGTTTAACCAAAAACAATTTATAAAGAACTCAAATAAGTTCTTTCAAACCCGGTCGTGGTCTTAATTTAATTAATCCTTAAATCATGAAATTTCAAATAAGACCCATCAATCGTTAATGTGTTTCTTCGATCAAATTAGTACCCCCTCCACATACCTCAAATACTAATGAAACAAACGACAATATACCCTAAAAAAATAATTTAGCAAACAAATACATATTCAAGTAACCGAACAAAAGTTTCAACATTTAAATCTGATCCTAAGTTTTTCTTTTCACTATTAAGAAGTATTTTTCTGTTTAACACGAAAAGTAATTCCAAAGTGTTGACAAATAATATTTCAAATCAAAGTTGACGTTTTAACATTCCAAAGTGACACAAATCGAAAAACCAGCCATTTTAATACACGTACCACACCAAGCTAGTAGACATACACATCTAAACACGTTATTGAAAGAAAAAACCATATTTTTAAGAGAAAACACTCTAGCAGTACATATCTATATAATATATAAAGAAACCTTTATTCATTTTGTTCATACCTTACAACCTTCTTATACTTTTCTAACTTAATTACACATACTACTCAAAGTAATTAATTTAATTAAGTTTTAAAAAATATTACTGATGTATTAAATTAAATACAGGAAGGAGTTATTCTATGATGTTTTTCATATAGAAATGATTCATTTTCAGTTTTTCTTTAAAAAAGAAAAGTTTGGTTGAATGTGCAGATTGTATTGTTCAACCAAATAGTTCAGAATATGATTATGTTAACGTTACTTTCTTTCTGACAATGAACAATCCGTTATCAGAAAAATCTAAAGGTATAGTTTTAGGTGTTGTTTATACCAAACAAGACAAAGATTCATTATTTCACCCAAAGAAGTCATTAAAATAAAATAAAAGAGAGTCTGTAAATTTGGGCAATTACTTAAAACTTAGGCAATTAGTTTAATTACAAAAGAGGTGATGTTACCGGAAAAGAGGGGCATGGATAGGGTACAGGTGGAGCAGGCGAAGAGCGTTGCGAACACGAGAGCCAGGCGCAGTTTGTGGTTCATGAGAAGCGTGCAGAGCAGGCTCCACGTGATCACGTTTTGCGGCTTTGCCTTCTCCGGAACCAACCCGATCAGCTTCGGATCCGGGTCTCCGAAATTCGGGTCGGATGCGGGCGCCGTAACGTAGGCGCGTGGCGGAGGGAGGAGAAAGCGCGAGTGGAGGGGGCGAGGGAGAAGAAGGGGTCGCAGTGAGAGGGGTGGTTTGGTAATTTTGGTAGAAAGAGGAGAATGAAGAAGAAGAAGAGGATAATGCAGAGAGAGTGTTGCAGAAGCCATTGGCTTTGAGGAAGATGAAGAAACAGTTGTGTTGTGTTGTGTTGTGAGGTGCAGAGAGACTAAGGAAGTGAAAGAAGAAGGGAGTTTTTTGCTTGTGGGACTCATTTGATGGAAAGTGCTGTTTATCCATTAAAAATTACTTAATTTTGTTTCCTTAATTTTTAATTATCTATATATTTTATTTAATGTATCATCTTTAAATTAAAAAATATATATGATATGTAACAAAAAGCATAAAAAAAGTTGCCAATAGTTAAACAATAAGGATTTCGATTGCTTAAAAAATCACATTCAAAATTCAATATATTTAGAAATGAAATTGTGAAAAATTAAATTTAGGAATCAAGTTTAAATTTTGTAAAATATTGGGAGCATAATTATAATTAGATTTTTATTTCAAAATTTTTATTTGAAAATAAAAATTAAATATATTTTTAATTCCTAAATTTAAATTCAAAATTAGAATTTGTTTTAATATATTTTAATATTAAAAATTTTTAAAATAAATAAATATAATCGTTTTGAATCTCAAATAATATTTTTAATTTACACTTAAATTGAAACATGTTAAATGAGATAAATAATTACATCAAGAAAATTTCAACTTAAAAAATTTATATTTATTTATTTTTAAAATTTAAAACCTAAATTATATTAAAACTTGAAATAAAAATAATTCTAATTTTACACTAACTAAAATAATATTTAATCTTTGTTACAATATTAAAAAACTTACATAGTCGTGGTTTAAGATTTTCAATCAATATTTGACTTTTATGATTTAATTTGATTTGTTTATTATTTAAGTCACTTCAAACAAAACCATAATTAATAAGTTTGATTTAGTTTATTTCAATTTAATATAAAATTTGAAATAAACCTAATCAATATTTTATAATTTAAAAATAAATAATCAGTTTAATATATATATATATATATATATATATATTAAATAATTGATTTAATATAATATGTATTAATATCTTTTATTTTTTCAGTATAATAAAAAATTGTAACTCTAATAAAACTATTATAATTTTAGTAGTTAATTAGTAATATAATTAAAGATTTATTTTTCGTAAATATTTCACATAAAATTATATTAGACATAAGTATGAAATATTTTTAGTTATTATTTTTTTAAAAAAATTAACAACAATATAAAAATAACTATAAAGGAGTTTATAATTTATTTTATTATACTAAAAATAAAATGTTTCAGATATATTAAATCAATTATTTACCGACAATTTAATTTTAATCGATTTTGTTTTTTATAAAGTATTTAAATATTTTTAACAAAATTAAAAAAATTATTAAATAAAGAAACATATTGCAAAAATATGTAATTATAATTATATTTATAATGTTAACTTTTTCTTATGTTCATAAGAATTTTCAAAATATACCTTTATATATGTTTATTATTTCTGATGGACTTAAATATGTGATTTTATATTTCAATTTAATAAACTGTTATGTCGATTGTTTTAATTTTTTACTTTCAATTCTAAATCCACATTCAACAATATTGAACAGAAATTAAATCCATAAAGGTTTAAATTGTTTAGTTTTGATCCATTTTCAATTATATTTTTCATAGTTTTAATCAGAAAAAAAAAACTAATAATCTGGGTGAACAAAGTTAAAGCATCTTCAAACTATAGAAAAAAAAATGGTTCTCGAATATTTTGAACAAATGTTAAACTGGGAATCGGTTCAATGAAGGAGATAAGTTCAATCACTTTCTATTAAAAAAAGTAAAGTAACTTTGGTAATTTTACTCTATTTTTAATTGGTTTCTTTTTTTTTGAAAATTTAAAATTGGTTATTCAACCATGAAAATTAATTAAAGTTATTCTGACTTATGCAGCAAAAAGTCACTTAATTCGTCTCATGCTAAACTTTCATACAGGATATCAATAACTTATTTAAATCTTTGTCTATTTATTATGGTACAACATGTCACATATTTTAGTATTCAGAATTAATTAATAATATAAATCAAAATACTTTTTCATATTAATTATAATCATAAATAAAATAATATTCTTTTATTAATATAAAATCTATTTTTCACTAAAACATGAATAAAGTTGATGAGAAATAAAAACATAAAAAATAAAAATGAAACATTAAGAATAAAAAAGAAAAATATATTACTTGAGGATTTAGAAAATGATATCCAATATAATTGATAGTATCCTTAGAGTCTTATATGCGATTTTTTTGTTATCAATCATAACATTACGAGTTGATTATCTATGTGATGTTTGTATGTATAAGTAGAACAACATGTGGAATTGAAGGAGTTTTGGTGCAGTAAAGTTGTTTGAGTAGTTTTACCATGTAAGGGAAGCTAGTTTGTATCTTTGATTTTAGTGATTTTATGATTGAGTTAGATATTGCATGTTGATTGTGAGAAAAATTGCAATGTTATGTTTCTTTGTTGAAATTTGATTGGAGTGTGTTGATATAATGTGACAATGTGTTGTTTAACGTTGAAATATGAGTTTGAGTTGATATATGTTGTTTGTGGGTTTTGATGAGTGATTGAATGGGAGAGTCATAATTTGAGAAATTGGACAAATTGATACAACTTATAAACTGTTTTAAAATTGTTTAAACCATAGGAGAGAGTACAAAGTACCAATTTGAGAAATTGAACAAGTTAAACTCCCTCATTCATAACACTTTCTGTCATAGTGATGGGTGGTAACAGAGGGGCATCTAGTGCCAACTCACATTTTCAAGTCAATGAGCATTTTCACTCCAAGCATTAGGCGTAGGATGGTACTGTTAGGCACCACTTAGTGGGCTTCTGACTTGGTTGTCACTAGGCAAATTCAAAGTCAAGGAGCTCACTAACATTGTAGGACATTTTCAAGGAAGGAATTTGATTAAAGGTGTGATTCTCTAGGGTGTGCATTATGGTAAGGACAATTCTATTGTGTGAATCTATGATGAATTCTACTAATCATTCATACTCACACACAGGAGAATGATTAGGTAGTGATAGAACCAGCTAGATTACCCTTTTGTTCTCTTTATTGTTCTTTTGTTGTGTGCTCTGATTTTGCAATGATCACCTTGATTGGTGTGACCAAATAAGGAAGCGGGTCCTCAAGGAGGAGAGGATGCATCAGTTTAGTCATCAACTTTGTTTCCCTTAATGTTAAATCTTTTGAAAGACCTTATGTAGTTTCATACTTTTGTTTCTAGTTTATGTTGGTTTTGTATATATAAATCTACTCTAATTCTATTCATCTTTTGGGGTAACTGTAATAAGGTAGTCATATTTAATTCTCCACTAATATATGAAATCAACTACATGCTATTTTCTTTTAGTATGCTACTAAATGGGATACTATATATTCCAATGACAGTGAAGTATTTCCAAATATCTTTCACAAAATATGCTTGGAATAGATATAATTTCGTCTTATATGTATATAAGTTCTTGCTTGTACGCATCTCGTAAAAGTGAGATCAACATCATTATATACCTTAGTTCTTGAAGCTTATTCATGTATATGGTTATTGTAAAAATTGTATGCTTTTAGTTCATTTTCAACAATAAAGTTATGCAAGGTAAAGTATTTTATTTAGAGATGGCAAAGTAGATTAGCTTAAAGGTCCTCTACCACATGTATCAAATCAAGGAAACCAAACAAACAACGATATTAACCCAAAACATAAAGGTTTTTCACAAGTGCATTTTCTTATTATGCTAATACTTTTAATCTTTGTGAAAATGTGTTGTGTGGTTGTGTCAATGAATCTGTACAGTCGATTCCCTAGGGCAGAGAAGTGGAATCCACGTATTAATCTCTTCATTCTTCTTTGGCAACTTCAGTTCCATCGGGGAAACCATCAAACACCCTCCCCATTCCATCTTAACCCATTAAATTACAATGATTATATTTGAATTTGGAGAGTTCAGCACTAGGAACGTTCGAGCACGAGCAATTGCAAAAGCGGCAAACCTAATGAAGTGAGGTTTTATGAGGCTTTGTGTATTCCAATGAATTCATAAGCATGAAGCTTTGCGCAACTGATATCTTTGGAGCAAAATTGGAGTAAAGGATATCAATTTCCTGTAGCTAAAACAAGGTATTTATAATGTTAATTCTTATCATTATTTGAGCTGCATTTTAGTAACAAAATCAACTATCCTTTAACTTGTTACATGCTTAAATCCTCACTTTTATCTTTCTTTCGTAAATAATCTTATTTTAGGATACATTTGTGTAAATAGAACTTTAATCCCCTCTAGTGGGGACTTGCATCTAGGGATGAAATATGACTCAATATTTATCCAAAACCTGTTGATGGATTGGCAAGTGTACCAAATTGCACAAGTAATATAAAAAGGTAAGACCAAGTATTGTATCCTAGAGGACTTTTGGCACTTAACAGACGTGTGATAAATTAATTAATTAAGACTTAAAATAAAAGACATCATTGGTTTAAAATGCAAAGACAGAAAATTAAATATGAATACAAATTGATCAATAGTAGAGTAACACAAGGATGAACGAATGTTGTTTAATATGAGATGAATATGTTGTTGGGGTTAGATTTCAACAAGTTCCCTCTCATGTATATAAGAATTCCTCTTTATGCATTAATGTTAACGTCACTAACTAAAATAATTAGAACCCAATCCCTTGGCGTAATAAGACTGCCTTAATTCCTAGTTCGTGCAATTCCTAGCGTTCCTAGAAAATTAAGTCTGAAGATCAAGAGCTTAAGAAGACCAATCCCTGTGAAATATTACCCTTGGGAGAATTCAACAAGAACCTGAATTGTAAGGAACCTCCCAACACTCATGCAATTCATAAATCATGCAACTAAATGAGTTAAATAGAGCAAACATTGAAACAAATGAATTCCCTAACAATTAATGAATAAAGCAAATATGATTAAGAATCAATTCAAATACATGAGAGTTCAAAAGGTTACATCATTCCCCAACAACAAATAGAGTTTAGTTCCCCATAGACATGGAGAAACTAGATGTACAATGGAAAAGCATGAGATAGTAAAACCCTAAGAGTAGAAGAGGAAGCTTCCGCCTCCAGATCC